GTGTTGCTGGGTCAGTAATACTAAACTAATGTCTTGATGTAAGAGGCAAGGTAAAAAAAAAAAAGATAAACCCTTGAGATAGGGGCCTTGATGTTGAGGTATGGCCTTGAGATAGGCTCGGTCTTGAAGAGGACTCGCGTCCATACTTACATGGATCCCTACCAAATTTTCATTTGGATAGGGGCAAAAAGATGCCAAAGTAAAAAATGATTACCGTCTTGCATGAGCCATCCGTTGCGGATTGAAGGATCGAGGGAAGACTAGAATTCACTTCAAACGCATAACATATGGACATGTAAGATTGGATGAGGGCTGGTTCTCACCGGCATACCCCCACGTGGGAAGATTGGGTTGGCTAGGTCAACCTAATGATTAGAGAATGGCACATTAAAAAACTTAAAACCTGGAAGAGGGGCCCTGGAAAAAGGGTGTTGCCTGGAAGAGGGCTGAACCTTGGAGAGGGTTCGCGATCATAGGACATGGTCAAAATCTCCGAAGAAAGTTCGGGTCTTGATGTTGAGACTTGATGTTTCCAAAACCGTTTCGGATTATTCGTTCGAAATTTGAGCAAGGTTGCTGTTAGGCATGACATCCAGGCCAGAGGGGGAAAAGAAAGTGGCATGGTCAAAAGTGACCGGTCACTTTTTTTAGTTCTGGATTGACAAGAAAATGCGAATGGGAAAAAAATTAAAATTTGACCGGTCAAATTCGAGAAAAGTGACCGGTCACTTTTTAGTTGGTGGATTTGATGAAATCAGACAAAACTGGAAAAAATATTTTTTGACCGGTCATATTTTTGACCCGGCACCTGGACAGGAAATTTGGTGTCATGCTGGTTACATATTGCAACCAAGCCATTAAAACCTGGAAGTTAACTGGGTCAGAAAACAGGCGAGGAATAAACCGACCTAGACGTTTTCAAATCAAGAAACCAGGACATGAGATGACCTGGAAGTTTTCAAGCCTTGCGTCTAAAGTGGTCTTCAAAACTTCCAACCTAGCCTACTACACCAGGACATGAGATGACCTTGACGTTTGTTGCAGTTCAACCTAGACACAGACCGGTCCAGAAGACTAATCAGGCCACAAGATCTGAACATTTTCAAGGTTGCAAGACCTAGATGTTTTCAAGGCTTGTACTTGACCAGGACATAACATGACCTGGACATTTTCAAGAGATGGAATTGATCTGGACGCTGTCAACAAAGCCTACCAGACCTAGACGTTACTAAGGCGTTAACCAAAGACCAGGACATGAGGTGACTTGGACAACCACAAAGGATGAAGCCGGTTACTTCCTTTGACTTGGAATCAAGCATATTCAATAAAATCGTCAACCAAGCCAATGAGGCCTGAACGTTTTCATGACCAGAACATGAGATGGCCTGGACATTCTTTAAAAACGATTCCTAAGGTATAAGGCCGGTTAGTTTTATTGACTTGGAAGTTCATTCAAAGGCGATCAAGAAAAGGAAAAGAAAAGCAATAACCATGCATAAAAAAGGAGTTCAACCATGCAAACGGAAAGAAGAAACAAGCCGGTAAATTGAAAACCATACAAAATAAAAGATAATATTACGCAAGTCAGGAGTAGGCCGGACATCCCCCAGGCCTTGGGAAAATTCAAAGTTTTTTCAAATAAAACCCTAACCTACTCTAGGGGAAAGGGGGGAGCTGGCTCTTCCGTATACAAGGCCGGGAGCTTCACTTTGGCCGGGTCAAAGGAAGGGTCCCTCTTCTGAAGCCTGGAGTAGAGGAGTGACCTCTCATCCTTCTGACCGCATTGGAAACCATATGAACCGATATCGGTTATCATCTTTTTGCCCTCCGGCTCCTTGTACATGGTCTTGAAGAAGGCCATTGTCTCCTCTGGCCCAACTAGAATGGACCGGGCAGTCTCGACATGATGCCCGGCCGCCCATCGTGCAGCATCATCAGGAAAGGATTGCTCCTTTGACCGGGCA